ATTTCTACCAGTATCAGCTCCTGCTCCCGGTAAGCTGTGATTCTCTGAATCTACCCGTCTCTCCACTTTTAATTGATCTAATAGCTTTTTTTTTTCCTTCAAAATCATAATAGCAACAAAATCATTGTATTTGGTGATTATACCTCATGGATAAGTAAAGTGAATGACAGCAATGAGGATTGGGAGAAAGGAATTGGAAATGCTGTTATAAGGCACCTGTGCCACCCCTGAAGGAATGTAGTGCTGTTTGAAAGTAGACTTGGATTAGTTATAAATGTAAACTACAAACTCTGGCGCAACCACTAAACAAAAATGTTGAAGAAGTATATTTGATGAACTAAGAGAGGAGAGAGAATGGAAACATAAAATGCTTAATTAAAACCTTTGGAGAGGTGCCTGGGTGGCTCAGTTAGTTAAGCATCCAACTCTTCATCTCAGCTCGGGTGTTGATCTCAGGGTGGTGAGTTCAAGCCCCACGTTGGGCTCCACACTGTGTGTGGAGCCTACCTAAAGAAAACAAAACCTTTGGAGAAGGCAGACAAGAAGCAGATGATTAGAAAAAAAAAAAAAGCAGGAGCAATGAATAGAAAAGTTACATGTATGGTAGATATTAATCCAGCAATATCAATAATCACTTTAAATGTGAATGATTTACATAAGCCAATTAAATGACTGAGACTGACAGTGGATAAAAAACAGAGCCCAACTGTATGTTAGCCACAAGAAACCTACTTTGAATATGAAGACACAGATAAATTAAAAGTAAAGAGATAAGAAAAATGCTAGCACAATTCAAAACAAAGTTGTAGTAGCTCTATTAATTTCAAACAAAGCAGACTTCAGAATAAGTAGAATTATCAGGAATAAAGAGGAGTGACATTACATGACAGACTGGGAATAGAGAGAACTGCTTCAAGTCTTTGAAGGACATCTGTGAAAATCCTATAGCATCATACTTAATGGTGAAAGATTAGATGCTCTTCCCCCAAGATTAGCAACGAGACAGAGATGTCCACTCTTGCCACTTCTATTCAACATTGTACTAGAAGTCCTACTCAGGGCAGGAAAACTAAGTAAAAATCATCTAGATTGAAAAGGGAGTAAAACTATCCCTATCTGTAGATGATCTGATCTTGTATATACAAAATCCTAAGCACTCCAATAAAGGGTATTAGAACTAATAAACAAGGTCAGCAAGGTTACAGGATACAAAAACAAGACACAAAAATCAGTTGCATTCCTATATATTTTAAATGAAAATCTGAAAATGAAATTAAGAAAATGATTCATTCCATTTACAATAGCATCTTTTAAAAACCCAAGTAGGAATAAATTTAAGAAAAGAGAAATACAAGCTTAAGATCTGAAAACTACCAATATTATTGAAAGAAATTAGAGAATATATAAATAAATGGAAAAACATTCCATTTCATGGATCAGAAGTAATATTGTTAAGGTAGTGGCACTCCCCAAACTGATCTACAAATACAGTGTAACTCCAGAAGAGCCAAACCAATCTTGAAAAAGAGCAGGGGTGCCCTGGGTGGCCCAGCTGGCTGAGCATCTGACTCTTGGTTTTGGCTCAGGGCATCATCTCAGGATCAGGAGATAAGTCCTACATTGGGCTCCATGCTCAGCAAAGAGTCTGTTTGAGATTCTCTCCCTCTCCCTCTGCCCCTACCCGCACATATGCTCTCTCTCTCTCTCAAATAAATAAGTCTTAAAAAATAAGAACAACAAAGTTGGAAGACACACTTTCCAATTTCAAAACTTAGTACAAAGCAACTGTAATCAAGACAGTGTGGTACTGGCAGAAAGATAGACATAGATCAGTGGATTAGAATTGAGAGTCCAGAAATAAACCCATATGTCTGTGGTCAACAGACTTTTTTTGACAAGGGTGCCAAAATAATTCAGTGGTGAGAAAATAGTATTTCAACAAAGTGTGCTAGGTCAAACGGATATCCACATGCAAAAGAATGAAGTTATACCTTTACTTCACACCATATGCAAAAATTAACTCAATGTAGATCGTAGACCTAAATGTCTTTAAAATCTTTTATAGATTAAACTGTAAAACTCATAGAAAAAAGCATGGGAGTAAATCTTCATAACCTTGGATTTGTCAATGAATTCTTAGATACGACAACAAAAGCATAAGGCAGGAGAGAGAGATAAATTAGACTAATCCAAATTAAAAACTCTTGTGCTTCAAAGGACAATCAAAGTAAGAAATAACCCACAGAATCGAAGAATATATTTGCAAATCATTTATATGATAAGGAAGTTGTACCTGGAATATATAAACTGTTATCACTCAGTAATTTAAAAAAACAACAAATTTAAAAATAGGCAAAGAATTTGAATACACATTTCTCCAAAAAATAAAACAAATGGCTAATAAGCACCTGAAAAGGTGCTCAGCGTCATTAGTCATCAGGGAAATGTAAATCAAAACCACAGTGAGATACCACTTCATACTCACTAGGTTGGCTATTATGGAAAAGTCAGATAATAACAAGTTTTGGCAAAAACATGAAGGAAATTAAAACCTTCAATTACTGCCACTGTGGAATGTAAAATAGTATAGACACTTGGGAAAATAGTCTGATCATTCCTCAGATGTTTTAAACAGAGTTACTCTGTGACCTAGCAATGCCTCTCCTAGGTACATACCCAAGATTAATGAAAACATATGTCCACACAGAAATTTGTTTATTCGTGTTTATAGCAGTATTATTCATAGAGCCAAAAGGTAGACTGTCCATCAGCTGACAGATGGATTTTTTAAATGTGATATATCCATACAATGGAATATTATTTGGCCGTAAAAAGGAATTAAGTACTGCTACATGCTACACAACATGGATGAACCTTGAAAACTTTATGTGAAAAAAGCCAGTTACAAAAGACCACATATTATATGATTCCATTTATATGAAATGTCCAGAATATGAAATCTGTAGAGTTGGAAAGTAGATTTGGGGTTGCTTTTAGGGTGTATCAGAAAATAAGAAGTGATAGCAAAAGACTATCAGGTTTCTTTGCAAAGTAAAGAAAATACTCTAAAATCGGCTGTAGTGATGGTTCCACAATTCTGTGACTATACTAAAAATCATGGAATTGTACATGTTAAATGGGTGAATTGTATAGAATGTGAACTATATGACACTAAAGCTGTTAATGTAAAGAAAAACTAAAAAAAAAATTTTTTTTTAAAAGTTCAGTTTACTTAAATATTGCAAATAGTTTTTTAAAAAAAACACCTGTAACACTGATCCATAGCAGCTTGGTTCATAATAGCTTCCAAATGGAAACAACCCAGATGTCCATCCACCAATGAATGGATAAACAACATGGGGTATATCTGTACAGTGGAATATTATTTGGCCTTCAAAAGAAAGTCCTGATACCTTCTACAGCATGGATGAACCTTAAAACATTATGCTAAGTAAAAAGAAGACAGTCACAGAAGACCACATGGAGGGGTGCGTCGGTGCCTCAGTTGGTTGATAATCTGACTCTTGGTTTTGGCTCAGGTCATGATAATCATGGTCATGAGATCAAGCCCCACGTCAGGCACCACTCTTAGTGCCCAGTCTGCTTGACATTCTCTTTCCCTCTCTCCCTCTGCCTCTCCCCCCACTCACATGCATTCTCTCTAATAAATCTTAAAAAAAAAGAAGACCACATGGTGTATGGTTCCATTTATAAGACATTTCCAGAAGACTTAAATCCATAGAGACAAAACAAAGATTAGTGGTTGCCAGGGGCTGGGCGATTAAGAAAGTGGAGAATGATTGTTAATGAGTTAAGGTTTTTTGGAGAGGTGATGAAATCGCTCTGAAATTAGATGGTGGTGATGCCTTCTCAACTCTGAATATTCTAAAAACCAGTGAATTGTACACTTTAAAAGATTGGTTTTTATGATATGTGAATTATACCTCAATAAAACTATTGTAAAATAAAAACCCAATGCTTACTACTAATTCTCTGTGAAGGCTATTTCTTCATATTCTGGTACTTTTTCCACAGAGGAGCTTTTGAAGTTTTTCAGGGAAGTGTCTTTTAAGAACCAATTATACCGATTTCAGAACTATAATATGAGGAGTTATTAGTTCAATAAAGAAAAGTATGCTACATCTTCTTTATCCACCATCCTCATGCCATAGAGAACATTACTAAGTACATATTAATTAATTGAAGTTCATATATATCCTGTTTTATTCTCCTGCTATAATGAATTAGAGTTTCTGAATTACTCTTTATTCTTAGACAAAGCACTTTCTCCCCAGCTACTTATATTTAATGTGCCAAAAACAACATAACAAAAATTCAGTAGCATTTGGAACATACGGAATTTTCTGTTTTCCTTCTTGATATTATTCCATTTTTTTGGAGAAATGCACAATTTTAAATGACTTGGTTAAATATTTAAAGAATACAAATGTTCTTTATGTAACTTTGCTGTCTTTTTTGAAAAGAAGATAGCATCACCAATAGTTGATTTATGTGTGTGTATGTATATATGTATCTTTGACTAATTTTGAGCGAAGGTAAATTGTTGGTGGTTTCTAATTTGTTAGAGAGTGGGAGGAATATGCCTATGAATTTTAAAAAATCAATCCGCTCATCTGTAAATCAGCTGAATGATTAAAGGCTATCTTTTGTCAGTATGTAACTGCTTGCAGGATTAGGATGATAAAACGTTTTTGAATATGGGTTCTTTCTAAGAGACTTATCTTCATGTATTTTTTCAGTTATCAGCTTGTAAAAAATAGACTCAAGCTTTTTATATTTTCTTAAAATGGGAGATAAGGAGATAGATACACTTCAGTACAAAACAAAAACTCATAACTATTTCATTTTGAAAAATAATTAAAAAGCTGTATAAACTTTAAGAAAACAACATATTTTTCTAAATTAAGAGTGTTCATAAAAATGAGGATCCAGATGGTCAATTCAGATACAGTGTGTAATGCTATAATTTTTCCTCCTAGTTAAAAGGCTGGCCACAGAGAACCTGCAATACATGGTTAAAGCCTGCCAAGTGGGGTCAGAGGGAGAACCTGCCGCCCAGCTGACTTCTGTGTTTAGGTAACTGGAAAATGTGCCAACTGGCAAGGGGACTCTTGCCAGCCATTTGACAGCCAACATGTTTTTTAAATAACTAATTATCCAAAACATAATGTGTTACTACTTGTTATAGTATTTCAATTATTATATTTTTTGGCCATAGTTTTGTTACATTGTGCTATTTTATTAAAAAAGACAAAAGTTCCAGGGAGGAATATGAGCAAGCTGACTTAAAATCACCTGAGAATTTGGTGATGAAGACTCCTGCATGTATTGAAGAGACAAAACGGAGGTGTGTGGGTCATCATGACAGGCGCACAGGCCCTCAGACCTGCCAAACATGTTACTCGGGATCCAGAAGTACATGTCACTGGTTTTCTTACCTGCTTTAGATACTGTAGACCCAGAAGGCTTCATTGTATTTCATTCATGAAGCATAGACTGTATAGGAGTAGATGTGATGTTGGTTCCAAGAATAAGAATGCAACTGGAATCATGTTTTCTGTGTTTTGGGTTTTGTTGTCATTTCCTGCCTTGCCTCCTCTAGACTCTTGTACTTTCTGTTAGGGCAGTGTTTTTAAATATGTCTCACAATTTCCACCAGTTCACTTTTATTATGCATATCTGTGCCCTAGCACTACTGTGATAAATAACACAGGTCCATTTTCTTCTGTGTTGGATCTTTGATTCCTCACTTTGTTTTCTTATCACATCATTGGCACTTGTCCGTTGGTTACAATTTATTTAAATTATGATCACATGAAATACATAGTGGATTTGTAAGATCTGTAAAATCCCCCAAAAAGAAAAAAAAAAAAAAAAAAACCTGTAAAACCCTAAGAGGGGAGAAAGGATTTTATACAAATGAAGATTGCCTATTTGTTATGTACAATTTATTAAGCTAGGTGGCTTTTATTTTGTTGGGGGAGAGAGTGGAAATTGTAGGGTTAAAACATACAATTCTTATTATGAAGGCCTCTTGTGGGTCTAAAATCTCCTATTCAGTTAAGGAATATAAAAATATATATTATGAATAACTTTTCTCATAAAAATATTGTTTGATTTATCCAGGAATATGAAGAACTAAGAAATACCTAGGAAACTGGACTCCCTTTTTTTTTTTTTAAGATTTTATTTATTCATGAGCGAGAGAGAGAGAGGCACAGGGAGAAGCAGGCTCCCAAGGAGCAGGGAGCCCGATGCGGGACTCGATCCCAGGACCCCGGGAT